ATAACTTTTTTAAGTTCCTCTACTACTTTGTGTGTTTGCCTGCTGTTTCTGCATTCTTTCAAATTTCTAGAAGAGTTTTGTATATTAATCTTTTGTATTCTGCCTCTGGTAATTCCAAGAAGTTCTCTTCCTCCAGAGAATTTATTGATTCTTTATTTTGGGAGCTTGTTTAAGCCATCACGGACTGTCTCTTTATGTGACTTGATATTGACTGTTGTCTCCGAGCCATCAATAATTTATTATAATTTTATTCTGTATTTGTTTAGTGAGACCTAACTTCTTATTTTGTTTTGTTTTGATATGCCCAAATAGGCTGCTCGTGTACACTAGTTTGATTTTTGACACTTATGAATCTCTAACGTTCTGTCACCAGGTCGTTAGTTCTGTAACTAAGTATGTGCACACAGGAGTCCATTAAATTTTCCTATATGAGTTCAGCTCGGGTGTCCAGGCAGTCAGTCACCAAGTGTGTGATGCAGGCTCTCACCCCCAGTCCTAGAGAGGCATGGGTGATTGGTGCAGGCACTGGACTCTGGCTGTGGTAGGGGTTCATGCGCTGAGCCAGTCGGGGCTGACGGCTGCCCCTGAGAGTCTGAAAGGGAAGCGTGTCACTATTCTCTAGGGTGAGTAGGTAGGTGAGTTTTACAGCCAGACTGTGAGCTCCCCACTCTGTTGGCTGTAAAGACTCAAGGGCACCACTTTTTCTTGGACTACTGTAGCAGGTGACTAGGCACTTTAGGTGATACCACCAGTCCTCAAGCCCCTGCTGCCGATCAATAAAAGTGCCTACTTAAGGGGCAGGGCTGTTTCGAGGGTCACAAATATGCCAGTCCACAGCTGAAGCAGTTGAAGTTAAACTTCAGATGTTTGCCTTGTTGTACTGTGGTAGTGAGGACTAACGCTGTTGAGATGGGTCCCCACAAGTCTATACAGTGGTGTAAGGCACTCAGAGTCTGTGGACCCCTTATACCTGTGGAGAGGCTGTATTTGTAATACTTTAATGTAAAGCCAGAAGTGGGAGCCATACAGCCATGAAGCTAGGAATGTTACTCTGGGCTCACTTCACTCCCACCCATCTCACTTCAGTATGAGCCGCAGAAATGGATTGAGGTTGAACTCCTTGCAAACATATTGTAAGAAAAAATGAGGATAACCCATCTACAGATAATTAAATCAAACCAGAAAAATAGACCCTGAAAGCAGACGAACTTTATTAATATTCCAAAAAGAGCTAAAGAAAATGATACAAATTATGAAAGAACTGCATACATCAGGACTGGAAAATTCAGAAATGAGAGAACTAGACAATAGGGTGATATGAAAAGAGAGCTGACAAAGGAATGGAAGGGGAACCTCTAGATTAAAGGAGACTTAAAAAAATTAAAAAATAAAAATAAAAAATGGGCAGAACCAAACTATAGTGTCAGGGAATGTACATCTGGGTGATCGGATTATAATGAAATGCAAGGAAGTGATTACTATTAAAGACAGGTTAGTGGTTACTTTTGAGCAAAGGAAGGGGTTTAAGATTGGGATGGAATGTACAGGGAGGGGGACTTCAGGATGGCTGGCAAAGTTTTATTTCTTGAGTTGGATAGTGGTTACAAAAGTGATTGGCTTATAATAACTCATTAAACTATACATTTGTTTCATCTGGTTTTCTAATTGTGTCAGTTAATAATGCTTTTGGCTGCAAATAACAGAAAATCCTGGGCTAATACTAACTTTAAATAGGTGTTTACCTTGGGTAACAGTCCAGGGCTGGTGCTATGGCTCACACTACAGTCAGGTATCCTGGCACTAGGTCTTTCTACTGCACTACCCTTGAGTTTCAGTTACATGCTAGTTGTGCATTGGAGGCAAGATGACTGTGCCATATCCAGCCTCTCCTTCCTCTTCCAGGCAGAAGGAGGCAGCACTCACTGCAAGGGAGGCTGGGAAAGTGAGTTTTTAGCTTTTAAAATCCTTATGGTTGAAACCCACAAAGGAGAAGATAGCTGGGTGTGAGTGTTGAGAGAGGCATCATAGCTGTATGTATATATATCTAGACAGTGGTTTGCAACCAGGCCAGTTTTTACCACCAGGGGTCATTTGGCAATGTCTGGAAACATTTTTGGTTGTCACAATTGAGGGAGGAGGGAAGCTACTGGTATCCTGTGGACAGAGGCCAGAGATACTGCTCAACATCCTACAACGCACAGGACAGCCCCACCACCACCACAACAAAGAATTATGTCAGTAATTATTGCAGTAGTGCTGAGGTTAAGAAAACCTTCTCTAGAGCAGTGGTTCTAAAAGTGTGGTCTGGGGGCTCCCGGGGATCCCTGGAACCCTTTCAGGGGATCCATAAGATCAAAACTATTTTAATATTAATACTAATAAATTATTTGCCTTTTTTACTCTCATTCTCTCATGAGTATACAGTGGGTTTTCCAGAGGCTGCATAAATATCTGTTGATCAAATGCAGAAACAGATAATGAGAACCATCTGTCTTCCATTAATGCAGACATTAAAGAGATTTGAAAAAATGTAAAACAATGACACTCTTCTCCCAAAACTTTTTTTGTTTTGGAAAATATTATTATTGTATTATTTTTCATTAAAATATGTTTGTTAAGATATGGGTTTATTATTAACTTTAATAAATGTTTAATTTTTATTTTGTTTTATTTAATAATACAGTAAATATTGAAAGCTATAACCTACAGAAACAAAAGCTCTTTGGGGACCTCAGTAATTTTTAAGTGTGCAAAGAAGTCTTGAGATCAAAAATTTTGAGAATTGCTGATCTAGAGACTTACCTGATTTTTAAATGCCTGAGAATTCTGAAAAAAATACAAGATGGGCAATTAGGTATAGTCTGTCATAAATGAAGACTTTCATTACTCCACAAGCCTCTACTAAAGCCTTTTCTATGCCCTGGTTCTATGCTAAGTTCTGGGAGTACAGTGGTCAATAAAATAGGGTTCCTGCCATCAAAGAGATTTCAACTTATCCGGGGGAGCCAAGGAGCCCTGATAGCGCAGTGGTTAAGAGCAGCAGTTTGAATCCACCGGCCGCCCCTTGGAAACCCTATGGGGCAGTTCTACACTGTCTTGTAGAGTCGCTATGAGTCAGAATTGACTCAGTGGCAATGGGTTTGGGTTATTGGTTGGGGGAGCCAAATCACATTAATTGTGATTATTTTTATAAGTTTTCTAATAGAGGTATTGAAGGAGCCCTGGTGGCACAGCGGTTAAGTGCTCGGCTGTTAACCAAAAGGTCAGTGGTTTGAATCCACCAGCCAGCCACTCTGGGAGAGAGATGTGGCAGTCTGCTTCTGTAAAGATTACAGCCTTGGAAACCCTATGGGCAGTTCTGCTGTGTCCTGCAGGGTTGCTAGGAGTCAGAATCGACTCGACAGCAATGTGTTAACAGAGGTGTGTTCACAGTGTCATGGGATTACAGTGGAAAGTTTAGTGTGTTGTTACAGTGTTATTAGAATCAAGCATCATATCAAACCTCATTAAGATTAGGAATATTGCCATGTTAATTTCTGCCATAGACAGACAACTCATATTTGATTCCCTTTCTCTCTCCCACACCACACATTCCCACCTAAGATGGGAATTGCTTCTATAAATCTGTAATCAATGGTTTAAGGTCATAAACTGAAACTAATTTATATGCTTGTTGGAATTTTTAGTGACTGTACTGGCGATATTTAATGAATTGCATGCAGACGTGGACCTTTATGCACTTCTGTTTGGAGAAAGCGTCCTAAATGATGCTGTTGCCATCGTACTGTCCTCGTAAGTAGCAATATTTCTGTCCCATTATACTGTCCTTGTAAGTAACAATATTTCTGCCCAGGAAGAAAGACTCTAGTTTCCTGAATGCTTTGGGTTAAATGGAGAGACTGTCTTAAAAGTGTTCAATATTGAATTGTTTTTTTTTTCTAAATGAGATTTATCAGTTTTGTTGATACAGTTGTGTTGCTTTGTCCAGTCAGCAGTGACCAGAATGCTGACGCCAGCATAACATGGTAACTACAGATTAAGTGAATGTACTATGGGTAGTGCTTGCAGAGTATAGGTATCTCTGTTTGCAGATGTTTTTAGGTACCATGGTGTAAAGCCAGTGCAACCTTTAACTGTCTCTTCTTTTTAAACTCCAGGTCTATTGTTGCCTACCAGCCAGCGGGGCTGAACACTCACGCCTTTGATGCTGCTGCCTTTTTTAAGTCAGTTGGCATTTTTCTGGGTATATTTAGTGGCTCTTTTACCATGGGAGCTGTGACCGGTGTTGTGACTGCTCTAATATCCTTTTTGTAGTTTCTGCCCTGCCTGGGTATGCTTATATGGCATTATACTTTCAAAAAGAAAGTTCTTAGCTCTTCCTTTCAGATAAGAATCTGAAATAGATTGTTCCACTGGGCTGTCATGCATCCTGAAATGTGTCGCTTTGGTGAAACATGAAGGTTGGGTCCTTAGCTAATTGAGTCTGAGAACACTTTTGGGAGTACAACTCTGTAGACTTTTGCTTTTTCTTTTCCCTTTGTTGGAGACGGGAGCTTAAGGAAAGCTTCAGTTTTAGGGGAGTGAAGGGAGCTGAGGAATGGGGGTAGGAGGCTGAGAATCAAGGACCATCTCACGGAAGGAAGGCCTTGAGGAAGCAGGCTATGGAGTACTTAGCGTCAGAGTTGCCGCTGCCACCTACTGTTCAGGGCCATACAGTGTTAACATGGCCATAACTAGCTGGGGGCTATCAGTGGGAATTACTGAAGTCAGTGTTCCTTAAATCAAGGACTGCACATGTGTACTTATGAAAAAGCATAAAAGGCACAAGAGGTCACATATTGTATGATTCCATTTATAAGAAACATCTAGAATAGGTGAATCCGTAGAGACAGAATGCAGACTAGTGCTTGTCAGGGGCTGGGGGAGGACAGAATGGGGAGTGACTGCTTTATGGATCCAGGGTTTCCTTTTGAGGTGATGAAAATGTCTTGAAATTAGATAGAGGTGGTGGTTTCACAACATTGTGAATGCACTAAATGCCACTTTAAAACAGTTAATTTATGTTATGTAAATTTCACCTCAATTAAAGAAAAGCATAAAAGCAAAGTATGGAAGGAGCAGGCAACCCCTCCACATGTGTTTGAGTCCTTCATCATATCTTCTTTCTTGGGCATTTAGATCAGCACTGTCCAGTAGAAATACAGTGCAAGTCACAAATGCAAGCCATATCATTTCAACATGTAATCAGTATAAAAATTATCAATGAGATTTTGTACATTCAATTTTTACACTAAGTCTTTGAAATCGTGTATATTTTACACAAACAGTGCATCTCAATATGGACTAGTTGCATGTTAAGTATTCAGTAGCTACATGTGGCTAGTAGCTACCGTATTGGACAGCACAGATTTAGATTGCTTTCTTCACAGAGGCCCTTTTGATGCCCTGGGACTTATATTGCCCAGTGAAACCACTCATGAGATGGTTCTCTGCTGGCCCCACGTGGAATCACAGTGTCAGGAGGGGCATGTCTGGTCCCAAAAAGTGACACCAACACCTTGGAGCTGCCCCTGGAGTTGTACATTCCTTCTTTCTTTCCCAGGCATTTGTTCAGTAAGCACCTGCCGTGGGCTCAGCCCATAGTGGCCCACGGGGTCAGAGTCTCACTGGCCTTTCTTTCCAGACCTGCCCAAGGCACACCCAGCACTGCTAGCACTAACATTCCAGTCAAGCCTTAGGCCAAGACTGCACCTCTCAGAACATGAGCATTGCAAGGAGCACAGAAAGCCAGTTTCGAGTTTCTTTAAAAAACCTGTTGCCATTGAGTTGATTCTGACTCATAGCAACCCTATAGGACAGAGTAGAACTGCCCCAGAGGGTTTCCAAGGAGCGGCTGGTGGATTCGAACTGCTGACCTTTTGGTTAGCAGCCGAGCTCTTAACCACTGCACCACCTGGGTTCCGGTAACCCACTGCCGTCCAGTTGATTCCGACTCATAGTGACCCCTTAGGGTTTCCAAGGCTGTAAATCTCTACAGAAGCAGACTACCGCATCTTTCTCCCCCAGAGCCACTGGTGGTTTTGAACAGCCCACCTTTCAGTTAGCAGTTGATTGCTTTAACCACTGCACCACTAGGGCTCATTTAGAAAGCTTAATTTTTATTTCTTAAAAAATATACAGCAGTTTTAGGCCCCAAAAGAAGAGTCAAAGGGAAAAGGTAGGCCTTAGGGAGAGGGTCCTGGGCTAATGAAGTGTAGTTCTTGGTGACCTTGAGCCATGTGCCTGGAGCTGCATTCCTTGACAGGATGCTGACGTGACCAAGTTTACCAAGCTGCACTGCTTCCCCCTGCTGGAGACTGCGCTCTTCTTCCTGATGTCCTGGAGCACGTTTCTCTTGGCTGAAGCCTGTGGGTTTACAGGTGGGTTTTCTCTACCATTGGGCCACCCTTCCCCTCACTGTAGCAGAGGCTGTGGGAGCTTGAGGGGAAGGAATAATTCTTAAATAGCAGCTACATGGAGTTGATTAACTTCTCTAGGAGTGTTCAAATGGGAGATTGCTGAGCATGGTTGGTGTTCTGCCTTAATGACTAAGTTAGTTTACAAAAACTACATCTTTTTAATGGAGAAAGTTTATTATTCCAAACTCAGTCATGTGTTTGAGTACTCATCCTAACGGTAAGTAGATGTGTAGCTACAAAGGTTACTGAATCTATTAAAGTCTTATTTGTACCCTCCCCTAGATTGCTATGTTATTTTACAGGCAATAATAATTGCAAGCAAAATATGTGTCCTTTTAAAGGTAATTTTGCATCTACTCAGATGAGTGTGCACACATTTTCTCATTGTTTTGCCTCTGATCTGTTTAATCGTTGCTTTTAAATGCCATGATTTTAGATCACAACGATCCAATCCCGTTGTGCATGGGGTCGCCATGAGTTGGGGCTGACTCAACAGCAGCTAACAACAACAACAACAGCAACGTGGTGCCAGTTTCATACATTATTAGTGTGGTTAATCATGTAGTTTTAATTCCTGGTACTCAAATTCTTTCTTTAGAAAAATTAATCACCGACTTTTTACATTAGAAATCTCAAGTAGAAAAACTATACATAATCCAGATAGTCAGGAAGTCCTTGTATCATCTTTCTGAAATACTACAACGTATCTGTATGCAACATTACAGAATACCCCACTCCTTTAAAACTTGACAATTATCTGTAAACGTATAGGCAAAGTTCCATGTGTGTCAGTTGTCTTGCACAACAAAATGGTTACCGTTAACCAGAAATCTAGATCAGTTGGGCTTGGATAAATGAAATAGTACTCTGAATCTGTTCAGAAGGTGGTAATTTTTGTTTGAAGCCCTACACCATGCAAAAATATAAAGCATTGGTTTGAAATTAAATTAATTCAAAGAACAGAGAGAAATATGACAAAAGTATGTGATAGGTCCTCACAGTCTCTTTGAGGGGATGAATGCTAAATGCCAAATACAGATGGCAAATTCAGTAGGAGTTTAGAGGTGGGATGAGAATGCCCTTAAACTGGAGCAAACGGAGAAGTTTGAAGGAAAGCAGGGTTTGGAGAAGGAAAGGTTGATACGAGTGGTGGAGGCAAGGGGAGATTTCCATACACAAAGATTTCAATTATAGGAAACTTTCAAAATATTCAGGAAGTTGGATTTGCTGGATTTGCCTACTTTAACTTTTTGTTTCAGCAGGGTTTTGTCCCTGCCTCTCTTTTCCCTGTTGACTTTTATTTTATCTCTTGACAGGTGTCGTAGCTGTACTTTTCTGTGGGATCACACAAGCTCATTACACCTACAACAATCTATCAGTGGAATCAAGAAGTCGAACCAAGCAGGTGAAAGAAAGTCCTCAGTACTCATGAGTTACCTGTTAATATAAGGAAGATGGAACCACAGGGTTTACAGCTTCTTTTCTCCTCTCCACACAGCTTTTTGAGGTGTTGCACTTCCTGGCAGAGAACTTCATCTTCTCCTACATGGGCTTGGCGCTGTTTACCTTCCAGAAGCATGTTTTCAGCCCCATTTTCATCATTGGAGCTTTTGTATCCTTTTTTTGTTTCACCATTTTCTACAAGAAGAGGCGACCACTGCTGAGGGAGCTAGAGGTTTGGATGGACAACTGGCCAGTGCTAGTTCATGATGTTTTTATGATGAGGGAAATGAAGCTTAAGAGGGGTTTCATAAGGTTAAATGTATTTAATATAAAGGACAGGCATTTATTTTAAGATGGTCCTTTCTGCATTTTCTGTGTAAGGTGGGTTTTCTGGAAAGATGGTACTTGGCAGGTGGTAGTTTGTCTTTTAAAGTGCCCTTTTTAGCAAGTCAAAAAGTCGGCCACCCTGTCAATCCCCAGAATTATTTTTGATATTTCATTGCTGCATGAATTACAACCTTAGCAGTTCCCTGATTTGGATGACCTGAAGGCTCTGTTACTGTTGCTCTTGACTGTGTACACAGTGTGGGCAGCCCTTCCTCCCACTGCCCAGGAAAGCCTATGGCCAGTGACCATGCTTTCACCTAAGCTTACCTACTACTCTAGAGTCATGGTAGAAACTACTCTTTTGTCCAAAAAAAGAAAAGGAAGATTTGGCAGGTTCTGATTTGTATCCTTTTGCTATAATAAAATTGTACTCATAAGTATAAAAAAAAATGAGGAAGGGGTAAAAAAGATAAAATGGAAAAAATACTTGGTTCCTTGATTTAGTCCCATTGTTAGTGCAGTTTTTGGAAGAGAAACACCTTTTTGACTGACTTCTCTCAAATGAGGAGGGATGTGGATGTCTGGAAATGGACTGACAGCTGAGAGTTGTGCTCACTTGGCCTCAGATACTATCGTTTTCATTAAAGTGAACTTTTCTAGGACTTGGAGCTGTAGCAGTCTAGCTGAGCCTTGATTGCAAGATATTCAGCAGGAATCCCCGAGTGTTGGGCATCCACTTTTGCCTTTTCTGAGGACTCATAGGTATTCTTAGGTCTTGGAATGCTGACAAAACAGGAGTGTTTCTCTCTTCTGGGCTTTTCATTTGTCGTGCAGGAGTAACTGACAAAGAGCAGAGCATGTAGATAGTGGTAGTGGCCCTAATGCAATGTCGGATCCTTCTAATTAGAATGTAATATGCTTACACTGGTGGCTCATTTTTTGGATTTATACCCTCAACAGACTAATAGCTAGAAATGTGAGGGATCAGGTTTTTTATAAACTTCATTAAAAAGACCTTTCATGTTGTTTTCATTTTTATTCCCAGCACAACATCCTGTGAGAGAGATATTGAGATCTGCAACCCTTGTTTACAGACAAGGGCCCGGTCAGAGGGTGAGCGGGGTCGCCCATGCAGTCTGAATCCCCAAGGCCGCTTGCCACTTAGGAGCTTTGCTTTGCTTTGCTTCTGCTATAGAATGTGTTTTATAAGCACTACCTTTTTCCTTCTGTTAAAACAAAACAAAACAAAACAAAAGGAAAGAAAAACAGTCAATGCTCTGCCCTGGAGGAGGCAGAGAATAGTTGTGTTGTCAGGTCTGCTGAAACAGCTGCAGCTCCTGCAGCTGGTCCTTTGCCTAAACGGAAGCTCCCTGTTCCTCTGGCTCCCATAGTGGTTTCCTTCTCTGACCAGCGGAGCGTGGAACTCTGCTGAGCTCTGTTCTAAACTCAGCAAGTGATGAATGACCGGTTTCCCTGAATTCTTTGGTTTCCACGGTAGAGTTCCTCTTCCACACTCCCCCTTTTCCATTTCTTTCATATCCAAAAGACATTGTAGCTATTTAGGTAGAGAAATTTCCCCAGGTTGATTCTTGTGAATGATTTGAATGTGTCTTAGTGTTATGAATATTTTGTTTCCCTACCTCTTATTTGCAGGCTTTTTCTGGTAATTAGAGTCCCTGATGTTTATTTCCAAGTGCAGCTTGTGAGCTTTTACCCAGAAAACTTTCTCTTTATAGCTTGAATCAGGAGCTAGTATTTTTTGCTTCTTTTTTTTTTTTCAAATAGAGCCCAACACACTGTTTTGCTTCTCCCAGCCTCCTACCCCTGCCATGGTATTTGAGCTTATTTCTGGACTAATTTTTAGATAGATTGGGGACTTAGTACCAGTTTGATTAAATCAAGAAGTTGCAACAGTGTGTTTAATAGTCTAAAAGTTAACTCTGTGAACTACAGGGTTGAGAAAGTGGGCCAATTGGATTCCACTTGCTAAGAGACTTGTTTAGAGGAAAACTAACCAGCCTGGCTTCTTTGTGCAGCTCTCCTGATCATAACAAGGTTCCAAGGCATCCCTAAAATTCTCTGATCAATCAGAGGCTGTGTGAAAGAGCCATTCTGGAACTGTTGGGTCCTTAACTTCTACCTGGTGGTCAGGTTGCCATCTTCCTGGGCAGAGCTGCACATATCTACCCGCTCTCCTTCTTCCTCAACTTGGGCAGAAGGCATAAGATAGGCTGGAATTTTCAACACATGATGATGTTTTCAGGTAAAAATAAAAGTATAAATGTAAAGAAAATGAGTTTTATACAGCCAGCAATGATAGTATGATTAAAATATAATCGATAAGCTCATAAGAAGACAAATTAAAGTTTCTGGTTCTTTTGTATCCCTTGAAGTGCTGAGTACACAGATGTACAACTAAATATTGATTTTGCAAACCATATATTACCACATCTGAGTATTAGCCCCTAAAATACTTACATCTTCATTTCATCTTCACCACCCAAGAAACCTGAAGATGTAAAGTATTTAAAGTGCTTAACTATTTTCTTAAGTTTCCAGAAGGGCTCCAGACCTAAAATTAGAAGGAAAATAGCTCTTTACTGAGAAAGACATGGACCAAGTGACTCAACACCTCCAAGATGTAGTATCCTCACTTGTAAAATAATGAAATTAGACTAATAGTTGAGGTCCCTCCTACCACTAACTTTCTATGGAGCAAAAGAAATAAAATACGTCAGCAAGATGAACCCAAAGCCTGAAGATAAAAGCTGTGATAGCTCTGCTTGATTTACACTTGATTTGCACCATCTCCCAGATGCCACCCTTTTCACCGTAAAGCTGAGAGGTTTGGAGAAGCCACCAAGGGAGCAAAGGGCAATAAAGAAGTAGGTGGAAGTAAAGAAAGGAGAGAGCAACTGGTATGAGTAGATACTGTTGTGAGGGTGGTGAGCATCAGGCTTTATATATAGGCGAGACCCAAGTTAGAGCATCTTTGCAGAACAGAGGGAGGAGATGTTGGGGCCAAAAGGCTACTGTGACCCATAGAGGTGCCTCTGTCATGTGTGTGGGAGGGGGTAAGGGGCTGAACAAGAGGGCAGAGGGAGTGGCAGCCACCTGTGTGGAGTCATACTGAAATCATACCAATGGGCACTGCTCAGTAAAGCAGTTGCTTTGTCTAGTAGTAGCTTGCATCTGACTGTAAATATACAGCCTGCCCTAATTACTGGCCTTTCTAATTAATTTCCTTTTCTCTGACAAACATTTCTTGAGCATCTTCTTTTTATAAGCCACAGTGCTAGGTTGTGAAGAATTCAAAGCTCCCTCAAGTAACTCACAGTCCACTGGGGGGAGACAGGTGTACAAAGAGCTGACTTTCTCCCAAGAGAGGAAGGTGAATTGCACAAAAGAGGCAGGAAATAAATGTGAACAGGAAGAGGAGGGTTCAGGACCATCTTCACAAAGGAGATAGCCTTCGAGATGGGCTTGGAAGACATGAATTTCAGGAGCAAGCAGGTTGAAAAGGCAGAGAAGCATAGCCATGTGTGGCCTTTTCAGGGAAGATTAGCAGTCTGGTTTAAATGTAAGACACAGGGAATGATGAAAAAAGAGGGCGAGGATGGAGAAGAAAAGTGTGTCTAAACTGGTGATTTTCAACCTTTAGGTTGCATTAGAATCACCTATAGGGCTTGTTAAAGCACAGATGGCTGAGCCTCACCCCCAGAGTGTATAACGCAGTAGGTCTGTAGTGGGGCCTGAGAATCTGCATTTCTAACAAGTTCTCAGCTGATGCTGCTGGTCTGAAGACCACATTTTGAGAACCCTGCTCTAAAACCTAGACCATGGAGATGCTTCAGTGCTGTGCCAAAGAGTTTGGGCTTTATTTAAGAGCAGCTGGGAAACAGAAGTTTACGACAAGACCCTACTTTCCTATTAGGAAAATACCAGTAGAAAAGAGAAAGATGAATTGTAGATAACTCTGTCATCTAGATAAACTTAAAATATATTCATTCTCTTCTATACTAAAAGATTGAGAAGTACACAGTGCTCTTTAGAGATAGCACCAATAAAAATTATTTTAGGGAGGTGGAGCCAACATGGCGCTATAGACAGAAGTACTAGTCCGTCTCTCTGCAGCAAAGACCCAAAAAACTAAGTAAAATGGATACAAACGTCAATCCTGGAACCCTAAGCACCAAATGAAGGAATAAAGAACTCAATCAAGCACCGAATGGAATAAGAAACTGACAGAGAACAGAGAATGAGGAGAGCTACAGAGTGGAGGTCCGCTACCAGCTAACAGCATGGATTCACCATCTTGGACTGTAGCCACCAAGGAATGCAGACAGGGAGTATGGGAAGGCAACTTCACAGAGCTCCCAACAGGAGACAGAGCACCTGGTAACCAGGGATACATGCTTTCCCACCCATCACCATTCTTCCTTGTACGAGGCCTCTGCCACTTTCCAACAGGCCATGGTCACTCCACCAGAGAGAAACCAGTTCACTGCCACTCGGATTTGCCATCTTGGACCTCAGCCACCAAAGACCATGGACAGGGAGTATGTGAAGGCAACTTTTCATGGAACTACCAACTGGAGACAGAGCACCCAGTAACCAGGGATACACATTTTCCCACCCCATACCATTCTTGCCGCTACATGGCCTCCACTGCTTTCCAACAACCATGGTTGCTTGGCCAGAGACATGAGCTTACTGCCGCCAGGATCGACCCTGCCCTCACTGGCCAGCCCCTTCAGCACCATTTTTTTGTTTGTTTGTTTGTTTTTGGATTTTTCAGTTTGTTTTTTGATATCTTTTTTTGTGGCTTTTTTTTGTTGTTGTTGCTTCTCTCTCTCTCCCTTCCTTCCTTTACTTTCTTCTGCCCCGCTAGCCCCATGTGCCATCCTCTCCCCTTCTTGGCAGGCTGTGATTTTTTGGTTTGTTTGCTTTGTTCTTTTTTTTTGTGTGTGTTTCTTCTCTCTCTCCTTTCCTTCCTCTTACCCACCCAACCCTGAGTACTGCCCTCACCCCTTCTGGAGGGGCTGTGCTGCAGAGCTCAGTTGGAGAGTCACTGTGCGTGGCATCCCCGGGTCTGCGCCATCGTCACTGACCAGCTCCCTCAACACCATTTTTATTCATTTATTTATTTATTGTTTCTTTGTTTTTGTTTTTGCTTTTTTTGTTATTGTTCTCTCTCTTTCTCTTCCTTCCTTTCCTTTCTCCCATCCACGTAGCCCCATGCACCACTCCCCCCTTCTTGGTAGGCTGTGCTGTACTGCTTGGCTAGAGAGCCTTTGGCACAAGGCTTCCCTGAGTCTGTGTCACCCCAATCTGGCTCCCTCAGTGCCATATTTTTTATTTTTCTTTATCTTTCTCCTCCCTCCCACCTAGGCCTTGTACTGCCTCTGCCTCTTCCTGACAGGCCATGCCGTGCCACCTGGCGAGAGAGACATCAGCTTACCACCACCCCAGTTCCCCCCACCCCCCAATGGCCAGCTCCCCACCACCATATCTTTTGTTGTTGTTTTTATTATTTTTAATTAATTTATTTGTTTGTTGGTTGGTTGGTTTCTTCTCTCTTTCCCCTCTTTTCTTTTTCCCACTCACCTAGCCCCATGTGCCATCCACACCCCTTCTAGACAGGATGAACCACACTGCTTGGCTAGAGAGCCACCAACACAAGGCCTCACCAGGTCAACCCCACACCCTCCCACCGAATACTACTGTGCCACCATTTTATTTACTTTTTTCTTTTTTCCTTTTTTTGTTTTTGTTTCTTTCTCTTCTTTGTCTTCTTCCGCCCACCTAGTTAACTCTGCACAGCATTCCTATCCTTTCCCTCCTTCCTATCTGTACCATGCACCAAGTGCCACGCCTCCGAGTGGCACTGACGCGGTCCCCTGGACCCTGTCCTGCACTGCCCCTGGCACTGCCCTGTCGGCCCCAGTTTGTTCCGCAAACTACCCATCCCCACTCCACCTGTTGGACGCACTGTGCTACAACATAGCTGAACGACCATCCCTGCCCACCTGGACAGGTGGTGAGAAGTATCGGGCCCAGAGACAAGCAAGCAACAAAGAATGCCCAGTCTTCCTGCCCAGACATAACCAAATAAAACAAAAAAGCAGGATGAAACAACAAATCTACAATCAATAAATGAAGAAAATAATTGCTGAATGTCCCAAAGATAGCACACAGTATCAAAACAAAAACAAAAACAAAAACAGGACAAGATGGCTCCAGAAAGCATCCAAAATGAAACATCAGATGACCTTCCAGTACAAGAAAAGGCACTGGAACTACCTGATAGGGAGTTCAAAACTAATATTCAGGGTTCTGCAACAGATGAAGAAAAATGCAGACAAAAATAATGAAAAGATAAACAAAATTATGGAAAATACAGACAAAATCATGGAAAAGAGAGACAAAGCAATGGAAGAATTCAGGGAAATAATACAGCAACAAAATGTCAAAATAAACAACTAGATATCATACAAAAACAGCAATTAGAAATCCAAAAGATAAACAACAAGATTTCAGAAATGGACATTGCCATAGAAGGTTTTAGGAGCAAATTTGAAAAAATGGGAGACAGGATCCACGGTATTGAAAACAAATCATTGGATACCACTTTGTTTGAGGAAAAATTAGAGAAAAGAATGAAGGAAAATGAAGAAACCCTGAGGACAATGTGAGATACAATCAAAAGCAAAAATTTGCATGTGATCAGAGTTCCAGAACAGGGGGAGAAAACAGAAAACACAGAGAGGATCATTGAAGATTTGCTGACAGAAAACTTCCCTAATATCATGAAGGATGAAAAGCTGACCATCCAACAAGGTCAGCGAACCCCTTATAGGATAAACCC